AGTTGCCTATAGGAACCCACAAGTGTTTTACAGGGACCCATTGCTTCATTTTTTGATTAGACTTGCAGAATAGTCCTGAAGGAAATGGGTTTTGTTCCGTTTTCCGACTGCTCTACTCAGGTTTGTTTGATCGTTTAAAGTACATTGGATGCGACTAAGTTAGGCCATAAAATCACAGCACGATGGGCAAACATGATAAGATTTAACAAGAAACGATAACTGTAGGATAATATTTATTGGAGTATTATTCTATCAGAATTTTTACCACCGTATTTGGATACTTGATACTCTTAATTCTGAATATGGCATGATATCTGAAAATAAGAATGTTAGAAAATGATATATTACAAAAGAAAGCAAGATCAAAAATTGACATGAACTCACACGTATATTGCGCTTCATTCGTTTGAGAAAAGGTCAGAATTTCAAGTTGTACAATGAGATCGAAAATGCAATCAATAAAAGATCTATAGCTCAAACAAATTGTCGAATTTTAATTGCTTACCGGTTGCCTGTCTTCCGGAACAAAGATCTCTTAGTAATTGATTCTCAAAATCGTATACGGGTTAGAATCATGATAACAAGGCGACATGAGAAGGAGAAATTCCAGTTTTAAGATTCATTCTCCTTCAAGTGATCTCTACATTCTTCAGGAATATTGTATGATACAAACTGTTTGTGGTCTTGATACTTGTCTACATGTATTGAACAGTTGGTAAATGTTTCAATACCTCGAAATCTATTGCCAAACGTTACCCGCATTTGGTGAATACTGAATCATGAGTATATGGATACCTCTGATCATAAAAATTACAATGCATCAGAAGAGGAAAATATAATGAAGTTCTTCATTTGGCTGAAAAGACATTGTGTTATTCAGGGCAATGTCTGTAATGATGACATTTGCTCATTACGCTATTAAGGACCTAGAGTGAACCCAATGGTGCAATGATTCATACTAACATCCATATTACAGAGCATGGGGACCCATTTATCTATCTATCCCTACGTATTTCAGTTCCGCTCTTGGTCAACCCATTCGATACCATTTTTCACCATTTTTCTTCGTAAACTAAGGGTTTGGATTTGATTTCATCAAGATGGTTTTCCGTATTACAATGAAAAAATAATAATAGAGCCCATAAACACTAGATCAGACATTTATTAATCTGGATGTTGCCTTTGCGAATGCTGACTTCAGAATATAATTTGCAAACTTCTATTTCGAATTATTCGTTGGCATTCTTTCGAAATGTATTTTAAATCATCTGATTATGTTGAAATAAAACTCACAGTTTTGTTTACTAACATTATTTTCGGTGCAAGTGGAGTGAAAAGAGTTTCAATGCAATTTTCATCGTTTGCGCGAATTGGTTCAATTTGTTCATACAGTTATGCAGAAAAAGGCTGCATCTTACAAACCCCTATGACGAATAACTTGTTGTAATCCTAACACCAAGTATTTAGTGACATTCATGTAGTCGACTGGAATAGTCAGTGTGGGTGCGTTATATTAGTACTTAGGGTGTTGGGGGGGGGGCGATTCCGTTTATCCAATTCAAATATGATAATTGCATGCACTGAGCTTGAACTGTGCAGTTGCGCTCTCGTTTTGTCCACTATCGAATCCTACTTTTGGCTTTTTCTGTTCTGAACTAAACAGTGAGCTAAGTGTTTCAGGCAGTAGCTCATAACGTTATCTTTCGACGCGCTTAATAGTTAACAAATTCATTCTTGTTCCTAAAAATATATAATACGAGATCCCTCCACCCTATTTGTGCACTGTCATTGAAATATTCAATAAATCCTTGACTTTACAGTAGATTGTTATGAAATGTTTGTACATATTGGAAGGCCAAACTATTTATCGATAAAAAGGGAAGTATTGGAAATTTAATTTAATAAGGAAGACGACTCATTTCATGTTCAGTTTCACCGCAGCCTGGATAAATCAATATTGACACGGGTGTTTGACGGCAACGTGCCCCATGGTCTCAAATTAAAGAACAATTTTATTTGTGTTGTATTCACAAACACGCAAGTTTCAATAATCTCCTCACAGTCTGAAAAAATCGTGAACAGTGAAGTTTACGGGTGTACTTGGGCTATGCGCTGCATACCGATAAGTTTGAGGGAACAAGCTCAATCCGTATATTGTTAATTCGGAGGCAAATAAGTAACCAATACACATAGAATGAGGAAAACGTGAATTAACTAGGAAATTCAGGTAGTTAACGTTTAACGTTCAATATACCAAATCTAAACTAAAAGTAAAGAAACACGACACAAACATTCACAAACAGATTAGGTAATGAAAGTTGGTGTCACAAAATCAAGTCAAGGTAATCGCACCTTGGAGTATGAGAGGTTATTTGAACAAAAGCGGCGAGGACATATGTTGCTAAAAATTAGTTATAGAATGCGCAATGAAGATCAGGAGGGTTATAAAAATTGAAGAACATTTGTCGCAATTGAGTCTAGCACAGACCAATTGAAGGGATATATTCAACAGTCTTGTAGAGGACAGATACCAGGGGTTTTCTGAAATGAAAATATAAATAAAATTTCATCTGCTTATTGAAAACTGAGAAAACCAGAAACAAAATGGTCTTCATGCATGAGTGAAAAGGATAGAAGGAACGTGACTCCTTAATCACTTGAGAATCGATGACATTCAAGGGGATGTTTGGGGTCGCACTTGGGAAGCAATCGGAACAGGAAAGAAACTTATTGTTGAAGAATGCTGATTATATTTTAAACTATAGGATCTAAATAATGCAGAACTAGCCGGTAACAAAGCCATCTGTTTAAGTCTTGATGTGTTTCAAACATACTATTGAATCTCTTGTAAATCCATGAAGGCGGCTTATTGTGATCCATCATTAGACAGTGACCGACTCGAAATCAGATCAGGGACGATTACAAGTCTATCGTTTTGATTTTTGACTTACAACAGACAACGATTACCTAGTAAATACTTTTCCCTCAAATGCGAAGTAATCCTCAGAGGAATATACAATGATGTCGAATAAAATGTTGCTTGAATGTGATCTTACATCAGAGATATTTTGAAGAGCGCATTCTTTATAGAGGTCATATTTGGAAATTTGTTAGTCAGCTGCAATGTTTAGCATGGGCTAGTTCAAACTGGGTTGTAGTATCCAATATTGACCTTTACATGTCTTAGCAACATGCTTTTGGAAGCATTTATATGCCACCTGTGGAAAAAAGCTTTTGTGCTAGCCAGGTTTTGGTCTACATAGTCTAAATGTTGGTTCCTGTGTTAGAAATAATACGTCAGGAACAAACAATGGCAAGCAAAGGATGCAGACCACTCCGTAAAATTCAAAGGACGACCCATTACTGTGGGTTGGTTCATCAAATATGTGAACTTAAAAGTAATACATTATTGCCCTTGTTCTCCTTCTTTGCCAGAAACAAACTCAACGGAAGCAACCGTGGGCTGAAACAAGTAGAGCTGAACATGACCCGAACCATTTTTCTTCTGAAAGTGTTAGTGGTCGGTCTGCTCGGTCTGTGCTTCCTCGGCATATGGACCATATCCATGTCAAGGTACAAACATCAAGACCCAATTCTGTTTCGTAATCAGCCGGTGTATCTTTCCCTGAAAAATCTCAAAGATAAGTACTATGTACATCAGGAGGAAAAAGCATTTCCCCTTGCATTTGGTATCATAGCCTACACAGACATTGATAGGGTTATTCGACTTTTACGTGCTATTTACCGACCACACAATTTTTACTGTATTCATGTGGACAAGAAAGCGTCGAGCGATTATTATAAAGTAATGCAAGAGGCTGTGGAACAAATCGGTACAAATGTGTTCTTAATTCCGGATCAAGAACGAATCTCTGTTTCCTGGGGTCATATAAGCACCCTGGAGGCAGATTTATCCTGTGCCAAACGGTTATTGGAATTTTCATCTTTCTGGCGTTATTGGATTAACCTAACCGGGCATGAATTTCCATTACGGACCAATTGGGAATTGGTGGCAGCTTTAAAAGCCGTTCAAGGTGCTAATTTGGTCAGCGGTTTTCGAGACATACGGGATTTCGCTCGCGCTCCCCCACCTCCGCTAACACCCCATGGAGTAAGTGATAACAAGTTTTGAATCGCTTCATGACTTCTTCTTTTGTGGCAAACATTAATATCATTTATCATATAAGCATTGATGGAGCAAATGATCACCACGGAGTTATCCACCCGATATCTCTGAATAAGTTGATTTATTCCCAGAATAAAAATTGCTTCTATAACTAAGATCAGGAGCTTTGAAGCAAAGTAATGTTTATTACTTTTTGGTCATTTCTAGCGGAAAAATACACTAGCCCAGCAGTCGATCAAACGCAAAGTCTCACAAGCAGACTAAAATGTAATATTCATTTGCTCACTGTATGACAGACGAACTTTGTAGTGCTTATGTCTCCATATGGTGTAGAGGCAATGNNNTGCTGCCTCACTTTTAACCTCGTTTACTCGGTCTCTGTCAAATGTATAGTTGAATGTGGCCTATCGTGGTTCTTACTAATGTTATAACCCTTCATTGGGAGTGCACAGCTGAGCCTTGATAATTGCCAGGCCCAGTTGTTCATAATAATAATAATAATAATAATCACAATAATAATATTAATTGTAATTTCCCCAGTCAATGCTTTCACATGAAGCGGTTAGTAACGTAATAAAGGAAATCACAATTCAATGGTAGCTTTCGTTAAGTCGGCAGGGTCGGGTTGATTGAGGATAATAGCTTCAATTATCCAGCCAGTGACGGGGNGTTCTCGAAATCACGCATACAACATGAACGTTGTGAGTACAATGCGCGCAATCGCGGTGCATCCCCAGTGACACGGCGTTCGGTTGTGTTCAGAGTGGTGGCACTCAAAACATTACCAGATAGTTTTACTAATTACTGAGTTGCAAGTTTGATTTCAGTTCTAAAGAAATAACAATTTTATTATAGTGGCTTTCCATGAAAAGCATTTCCACATCACTGATCTAAGTCCATTGACTTATTTGACTAAGTGATCAAGTGCCACTTATTATTCTGTCTTCTATGGCCAACACTACAAATGACACAGCCATATCCCACCCACCCTTAATGACCCCAACCAGTGCGCATATGTGACGAACAAAGTAGAAGTGGAAGATTGATTATTTCGTTTCCAATTTGGCATGATTTCTCCCCCCTCTCAAACTGAACAGTTTGGTATAAATTGTGTTTCATTAGTCTGTAGAAGAATCACCGTGAACGAGCTTGTTCGCAACTGTTTTTTCTTACAATGTGTAATGATGGCATATGTGGACAATTTGGTAGATATATCAATTCACAAGTTCGTCACAGAGCGACAGAGAAGAAGAAAATGTTCACTTATATCAGCAAACATCAACATTATATCGCTAAAAGATAATAGTTGGGTATCGTATTCCATTTCAGACATTGATTCCTACGTACACTTTTTGCCGGAAAAGTGAAACTCATTTGACTAATTATACATCTGATATCTGATCTATTACACGTAAAAATATTTACGAGGAACTAACTCCGTGTTAAAGTCCCCAAAAATGACTTGAATGTAATACACAAAATATGAATCGAGTAACTTTTCTATTTTTAGGTTAAATGGTTCAAAGGTGCTGTCCATGTCGCTCTACGCCGAGAATTTGTTGAATATATGATCAAAAATCCGTTGGCTTTAAAACTGCTAAATGCGCTCCGTGAATGGGAGTATTATCGACGTTTTCGTGTCGTAGCGGACGAACAATATTTTGCCACATTGAACAATAATCCGCACGTATACCGGATTCCTGGTTCCTACACTGGGGATCTATTGGCCAATGAACGGCTTGAATTGGATGTGGATTTGTACAACCTGTCGATAATGCGATACAAAGTTTGGAGCGCCAATATGAGTTTATGCGGAACTAATTTCTGGGTACGATCAATCTGTATGCTCGGACTAAAAGATCTGGATGCATTGCGAAACAGTCCACGTTTGTTCGCAAATAAATTTATTCCCTTTGTTGAACCGGAAGCTTACGATCAACTGGAACATTGGATCGAAATGAAAGCAGAATATGAAAGACAATTTTCCAGATTTCATCCAACTTTTAACGTTTCGGTTTACTCCAATTTAGACCAGGCAATCCATCATATGTGAATAAAGAAATGACAGCAGCCAGTTATGTATTTTACCATCAACCTGTATCTTTATAAATATTCACTGATCCATTTCTTTATATATATCATAGAGTTGTTATGTGCCCGTCCAAACGGTCCTTAATGTTCACCAAACTGCGATTTTAAGCTTGTACAATCTTGCGAAAGATCAGAGTACTATTATTTACTATTGTTATTATTTTTTTGTTAACCACACTGTTATTTTTTGATTACATATTTATTTTTGTTTGTATTCTATGTATGTGAATCAAGGTTACGCACTTCTTCCCAAAGGTACATCAGTATATCCGCGCTAATTTATGCTAAGCTTTAAATAACTCCGATTTTCGGTTGAGGCTAGGTTTTCCGACAAGGTTCGAGTTTCAGGATAAAGTGTTTACCGTACTCCTAAACAGAAAGTTCTATTTGAACGCAGCATTAAAAAATTCTCAGGAAAGGATCTGTGATGTAAGCACGGGAATTAAAGCTCAACAAATCCACGTTTGCAAACTTACTTTTCAGATATCTGGAATAAAATATTTCCTTCCGTTCAGGATAGCTCAAGCTTCATATTTCCTCGTGCTTCCTGTTAAGCCTACAAATAATGAATATACAACTGATTCTTGGCATCGTTTGTGAAGATATCTGGGATACATTTACCGGTTATTTGGCGTGAGTGGTGGTTTGCTGAACTTCCATCCGATTTCTGCTACATTCTCGGGGTTTCTCAAAACGCGTGTAGAGTGATCACTCATTTATTTATAAGGAAGGTTATAGAAATAAGGGAAACACAACCGATGACTTTTTGATTAACTGATTGAGTTATGCAATTTACTTTGTCCTTTTACTTTTATCCTATGAGTGCCATAGGAAAACGTGAAAGTACGATAGGGAAAATGCGCTGTTAAACTAACGTTGCCAGATGTGAAGGATTGAACATCATTACATGATTGGAGCGCTATGTGAATTGAATGATATCCTGCTCTTTTTGATGTTAGCAACCCGATGAATTCATGAATTTCACAAGAGTGTGAGCCAAACGTTTGGTAAACTGTTGTTTATATATGTTGAAGAGAAGCCGGGTGAATAAAACTAAGTAAAAATTAAAAATAATTAAAATTAATTAAATTAAAATTAATTAATTAAAAAAAATTAGTGTATGAGAATGGTCAAATAAATGCTGAATATCTACCCTCGAAGTGTACAAAGCGATTCCTTGACTTGACTTGTGACGTCAAAACGTTAAGCGTCACACCATCAAATTGTCAGATAAGCAAGCTACTTGGTGTTCCGTTTTAGTTTACCCAAATAACAAGGATGTTTCGTCCATATTTGCTTAAAGTTTGAGCTGTCCAGCTAGCGATCACAGAGCCATATTGGGTTTCCCAATGGCTTGCTAGTGATGTAAAAGTTTGTGTTGCACATTGGATCACATTTCGGAGCAATAATATGAAATTTGCGCAGAAAATATAAAAGCGCATGCAAATGTCTGTGTATATGTTGCAGATATTTCTGTTTTTCAATAAATTTGATTTATTTTTTGCCGTGGCACGTCCATTGAACGTTGTTTGGTGTCTGCAATGAATAACAGATTAACATAAACTGTATTAATTCGAAGCACAATGGATGGGTGACAAATGAGCAGCGTAAGATGATTGCAATAAACGTTCCGAGGTCTTCATGTGCTCGCCGATAACATCATTTTTATGTCCATCGGGTCCATCGGGTCAAAGGTCGTTGTTAGATCTCCACAAATTTCGGTAAATTTCGAATCAGTGCGGTAGAGAGATAAGACATGTTATCGTGAAGCAGTAATATCACGTTATATGGTCTAGATAATTCCGTGGACTTTGGATCTGTTAATATTTGTCACAGCGAGGTAGAGTACTCTCCGAGGTAACAACAACGATGTTTAGCTACAAAGGTCAGATATTTTTTCGCACAAGACCAATACTATTTCTCATTTATACAAAGGGATAACTGATGAAGGGCTTCTGCAAAGAAATTCACCTTAATAAAGAAAGGAGAATATTCAATTGACTCTATATAGTTCGTGTAAATTAGCACATTGCACTGACTGGAATAGTAATCAAAACCGCTCTGCTATGTCCTAGTAAGACAACCTCAATGCAAAACTTGGTATGCATATTCATGCCCCATCAGGTGATAATTCAATCCATCTGACGTACGCAAGGGCAAGGTTAATAGCAAATACAGATATATACGCGACATACCTACCCAGGTGACGGTTGCCCCTGACTTATGTAATCTAGTATAATTCGCTGCAGGCGGTTAAACTGGACTTGCGATTTCATTCAGCCTTGCACATTCTTTGTTCTTTTTCGCTCCGGCCCAACACTTGAAACAAAAGGAACCAGATGTAACCCGGCTGCTAATAAACGAATTTGTTTACTTATGGAACTGAGAAAAATTTTCACATTCTAATAATTTGTGATAGGAGCAACACCACGGAACATAAGCGCGTAATGATATCACTGTAACAGAGCTGATTAAGGTCTCGGAACATACCTTTTTATACCGGGTTTGCCAACCGCGCTAGGTACTGTTGCCAACGAAACTGCTATTACAGTTTCCGGATCCGCGATTTTTCGCTGTTATCAATTATCACATGCAGTTACAGTGAATATAGTTGACAGATGGTTGAAGTCAACGCTACTGAGGATGAAGGCTTTGCAAAACAAATCGAAACAACTGCTTTATTTTTGGACATACAACGTCCAAATCAAGTTCAACGAGCAGATTTATCGACAGAAGGATGGTGTGGCTATGGAATCACCTCTAGGACCGTTGTTTGTCTATGTGTTCATGGTAAAACTCAAAAATAACCAACTCAAATCTTCCATTCAGGATTGTGTGTTATATACACGATATGTGGATGATATTCTGTCGGTGGCCAACACAACATCAGGAACAAATGACCTCTTGAGAAAATTCAATGCTGCACACCAGCACATAATATTTACTTTATAAATGGAAAACGACAACAAATTGGCATTTCTAGACGTCTGTTTGAGTCGTAGGTAGGATAACTCGGTGCAACGATCAGTGCATAGGAAGGCGACTTGGAAGGGCCAATATATTCATTTTCGCAGCTTTGTACCGCTCAAAGTGAAGAGGAATTGGGTGCGCTGCCTAGCAGATAGAGCAAGGAAACTTTTTAGTGAGGACTCAATAGAAGAAAAGCTCCGGTTCTTACATATTGTCTTCACACACAATGGCTATCCAAAACGATTGGTTAGCAAGATGATTCAGTGCGGTGGAGATATTGTGAAGAAGACTGAGGTCAGAAAGAAGTCGGTATACATTGCCTTGCAGTTCAAGGGGGATACATCAGCAGAAGTAATACAAAGGAGTCTATCAGATGCCGTTAGTAGTACTTTCTATGCAGCAAAGCTCAATGTTTTGTTCACTTCTCAGCCAATTGTATGTTTACGACTAAAGGACAAAAAGCCGGATTCTGCCGTCTCATTTTGTGTGTACTCATTCACGTGTTCCTGTGGAACCGCGTACATAGGCCTCACGGTTAGGCGTTTGTCCGAACGAATCCGTGACCACCACCCCGTATGGCTAAAAACAGGAACGATCAGCGAAAACGAGCTTGTTCGCCAGTCCTTGTTCCATTTGAAATGTGCCCTGTGGGACTGTTTAGATAAATCGAAATCTTGAACTCAGACCAATCCTATTGGAGAAGATCCCGAGGATCACTAGTTGTACCCTTAAATCAACGGACTTTCAAGAAAATGTCTGAAAATTTAATTTAATAAAAATAGGTGGAATGCACTGCGAAGTTTGCTGGCGAAGTGACTCTGTTTGATTGAAGAAAAGATCTGAAGCCAAAAGAAATCGCACGTGCCCGTCATCAAACACCATAAGGAGCTGTTTTCAAACGGGCGACTGTATTTTCCCCCTTCCCAAACTTTATGGAAACGCTTTTCGCAGATCATTCTTTTTTTGGTGTGAATTCATAAACACAGTCATGATATCTATTTTCAGTCCTGGCAGAGATAAAAAAAAGCACCAAGTAGAAAACAGCTTTTTAAAGCTCCTTGTTGATTGTGTCGAACGCTTTTACCTTCTTTTTTGGATTTGGCTGAAAGCATTTCGAACAATGAAGCATTTTTTTATCTACACTATGCATGCAATACGCGATAGTGTGTTTAGTATATTTCTGTTACTTTTTATAAACACGATGTAAATAGAAAGAAAATTAAATTCATAATCGGATAAATACAATGTTGGAATTGATTGATTGAACAATGATGTCATTTGTAATAAATTATTCATTCACCTCTGTTTTACTAAATACTAAGCTGAGAAGCGAATCGGTCTTGACATCAGTTTCGCTTGTTAATCATGGACGTATTTCAAGTTCAAACATGTATTATCTAACCAGTTATGACCTTACGTCTACGAAATTCAAATGCAGTACATCTTTTTATTCTTTGTGGATAAACTTCCATATATTGACATGGATTCATAACTTAAACCTTAATATTATTTAAAAATCACGAGGCCACGGCGAAAGCGATCGAAATTATTCTACATAATCCCCCGTGGCTCGCAAAAACAGTCCGTAGGAACACTCGGTCTTCCATAGCCAACATCGCACATAACACAACCATCCCACCACAAACCCCTAAGGACCCAAACCAATGCGCATGTGTGAGGAACGAAATGTGAACAACACCCGGTCAAGGAACTGGAATGTTGATTATTTCTTTTCCAACTTGTCATGATTTCTCCCCCCCCTCCCTTCTAAACAGTTTGATATTAATTGTGATGTACTAGACTGTAGAAGAATCACCGCAAACGACCTTGTTCGCTACTCTATTTTTTATTACAATGTGTAAGGATGGTATATTTGGACAATCACTAGACCTTTGAAAGTGAACAAAGCTGATAAATTAGTGACAAATGTAAGTTATAGCACAAACTTTCTAAAGTGAAGACATGGAAAGTGTGTAAACTTTGAATGTTATTGAAGCCCCAGCAAGCAAAACGGGAATGTGCATTGAAGAAAAATGATAATCCTGTTCCACTATGTTTACCTGACAGTAGAGATCAGTACTGGGAAGTGATAGATGTATTCAAAAACCCATCTTCAGACAGATAACGGATTAAGAAAGAACTGGCCCACTGAAATGCATTTGGAATGTAACATGACATCAGCGATGAGTACCCTTAAACTATTTTATTAGCACAGTAGAAGCTGTTATTAGAAATCTTTCTGGGAGCAAACCTATGGTGATCGTTTATCGAGATCTGACTGCCTTACTCCCCCACCACAGCAGAGCCTTTTGGTAACCAACTTGGAAGGGTGAATACACCAAATCTGGTGTACCCAAGTACATCCAATGGCACCAATTGGATGACGAGAATTTGACTAATATAAGATTGGCAACTGAAACCTTTATATGCTTGCTTCCCTGAATAGATGAACTGTAGTCATAGCTTTTCCTGGATCTGATAGATTACTCTATTCAGTGGGTTTTTAATCTGAGTCCGACTTCGCGAGCTATACTATAACTATCACTATTGTAACTTCTACAAGCNCTAAAAGCCACAAAATGAG